GCCGGCGGACTGCGGGCGAAGGGGTGGCTGGCTGCTGGAAGGACTTTGAAGGGAAATAAAGAGAGGAAATGGAACGGCGGAGGAGGCGAGCGGCCAGGCTGGGCGAGAGATCGCGAGCGTGGTCCAGCTTTGTCCTTGATCGCGCGACGCTCTATTGAAAATTCACGGTGAAAATTTCAACCCCCGACAGAGGACAGCCAGAGGAAACGCGCCGGCGACCTCGCCCCTCGCAACCTTTGTCCTCCCCCCGGTTGCTTTGAAATTAATGGCAGCCAGCCGTTTTATTCGATTGCATCGCGCTCTAATCGAATAAGACTGTTTCAAGCGGCGACCTGCTGAAGCAAGTTTTTCTGAATATATAGCCGTGCGACTCGCAACGCTTCCCTCTCCGAGTGGGACCGCCCAACCCCTTCGCCGTAACGCCTGCTCCGCGGCGCGGCGGACAATGGAAATTACTTTGTAGCTTCGTTTCAGAGGCGGAATTCGCTAGGCAACCGATAGTCACGTAGAATTGTAGCCACTCGTTTCTATGATAAACGGTGACGACGAACGATTGCAGGCTCGCGACGGGATAATTACGCGGATCGGGGGGATTCGTTCGTGTACGATGCTTCTTAGGTGTAATTGGTTTATCGCTGATCGCCGCAAAGGAAACGTTAACGCTGAAACTACCGAGCAATCGCAGTGACTTATCTCCAATTTTTTAGGAAAATTAGAACACGTTTCTTGAGATTCGGAGGATCTCTTAGTATCTGTGAAAATAAACGAATTTAATTGAAAATCTTTCGCAAAAACGCCTTCTGAATTTAAGTATTCGCGAAATGAACATTCTAAAGTGGGTCAATATATACGACCCACTATTCTATACGACCATTTATTCATTCGTAGTACTTACAAAAACGTAAAACGCGAGAACATTGTGATACATGTTAACGGACATTAACGACTTTCAATAACAATGCGGTTTTGAATTTAATTAAACTACGGAAACCACTATTACGAGAAACCTAGCGCTGCCACGGATATTTCGTTCGGATACATTTTATCTCAATTTCATGTACAATCACATCAAATTTCTGTATCGCGGAACGGCGCGCCTTTGGAAATCGTGTTCGACCGCTTTTCATTGCACAACGCGAAAATTTAGCAAGAGGTTAGCTCGACACTTTAATTACTCAAGCGTCATTTTAACCGGGCAGCCAGATCGTTTTTCCGTTCCCGCGTGTTTCACCGTTTCCACGTTTCCCGTCGTTACCGGTGTTCTATCAGCACCACAGGTTTTATGAAACTTTACTGAAGTAGCTTCGCGCGGTATGTTAAGCGGATACTTCAGACACGGTGTCGACTCGACTGTGCTGCTAATCTTTATCTTGGCGTTACGAAGTCGGCTCGTGCGTTGGTCGTCTGGATTTTTCACTCGCAGCAATTATTTCTGGTTATTTTGTTACGGACAGTAGATTATCGTGACGAGGACTTCGGCATTGCCTCCTCGCGAGAGAAATGCGTCTTTATATTTTTTGGTTAATATCGCGTACTGGGTTTTGTCACGAATAACTGACACTGTATGTAATAAAACAGTTCACGAATAATTATTGTAAAAATTGTTATAACAGTATTATATTAAAAAGATTAAGAGCATGATTAAACATTGTAAAAAACATGAAGTCTATTTTGTAGTATACGATAGTAAGTGTACTCGCAATGATTAAATTAGTGGGGCAATTTCATTCTAATGGGACTTTCAATGAAGGAAATATTTTTATTATACAGGGTGGGATAATAACTATTAGCACGTCAGATATATTTTTTTTGCGGGTGGAGGTTCTTCGTAAATTTGAAGGTCACCTCCATTTTCTTAAATGGATCAGTATGTTTTTGCTTTCGTCATGATAGAGGATCTTAAAACGGATTCAACGACCTATTATATGAGGTCGTTGAAGGTCATAGAAAATAAAGAAAGGCGATAATACTTACGGTTTTGATAGTGCATAAATGAAACATACGTTTATAGTAGGTGTTCGAAGCGATGACCACCACTGTCAGTGCAACATTGGATTTTACGATTGACTGACTCGCAAGTGTTACAGCGTCAGAACTTATTGACGCACAGGCTGCAATAATTCGCTGTTTTATGTCGTAAGGTGTAGTTGGTACTTTGTACACTTCATCTTTCAGTGTTCCCCACAGAAAGAAATCTAGAGGTGTTAGAGCTGGCCACGATATTGGATCGCCGCGTCCAATCCAACGACACTGATGGTCGTCATTTCGAACAGCTACTATAGGCGTATGTTTCATTTATGTACTACCAAAACCGTAAGTATTATCGCCTTTCTTTATTTTCTATGACCTTCAATGACCTCATATAATAGGTCGTTGAATTCGTTTTAAGATCCTCTATCACGACACGGAAGCAAAAACATACTGATCCATTTAGAAAAATAGAGGTGACCTTCAAATTTACGATCTCCACCTGCAAAAAAAATATTTCTGTGAAACTTATAATTTCGAAGATATCTGAGGTGCTAATAGTTATCGTCCCACCCCGTATAATGTCTGTGTTTACGAGTGAATATATAAACGCCCAGTTTAATTAGTACTATTATACTCCAACGACAGCCAATGGAAGTGCATTTATCAACCATTACGGTATTAATTATACTTTCATTCGACGTGAAAAGGTATTCTTCGACTTTCATTATTACGTAACAGGTGAATATCAGTAAATACCGAAACGAACGACAATTAAAATATTTCGAGTTTCAGATTTCCTCGTTCCGTATGGTTTAACATTTTCTCTTATGTCTAAAATTATACAGTATAATTACCGTGTGCACGTTAACAAAATAATATTGTGATATCACGAATAAATTTATTATTTATGCATCTTATTTATCAAAACTTCGATAACACGAATTAAGACATTGTAAACAATATTTTTTCGTAAAAACTATTTATTATTAAAGGATTGGTATTAATACAAATTATTGTTACGTATTATTTACTAACAAACTGTTCAATCCATACTGACCACGCTTTTCGATCATTCGTTTCAAGCTCATTTTTGGCAGAATGGAAAGTCACGACAGGTGGTGTAATTTTCAAGCTTTTATGCGCTTCAAATTGGCAGATACTGAAATTCTTGTTCCAGTGGAAAAATTTGAATACACCGAAAACAAATATTTCCATGTCACCTCGATTTCGTGTTCAGCCGATTGTACGCGAACCGTTCTAAGTTAAAATTCAATACCGCGCCCTGGTTACGATAAATTTTGGACGACGCAGTTCATGCATTCATTCAGTTACCAACATGAGAAATACAATTGCGCCCCTGAGTTATATGGAATTATGCGCCCCGATAAATTTTCCGGTTCGATGAAGCGGCGCTCGATGAAGACGCTTCGCTAAAATTATTTTCGTTGACAAACAAGAATGGTTCTAAGCGAAGCAATGCGAAATGCAACCTCTTAGCGCTGAAATAATTTTTATTGCGCATAAACAATAGTTTTATCGGATATATATTTGTTTTTAAGAAAATTTAATACTAGAACTATCGTGTCAGTTAAAATGAGTGGTTTCGGTTTTCTTGTTAAATAATATTAAATAATACATAGCTCCAGTAATAAATACAAAATTTACTTTATCGTATTAATTTCTGTCCTACATTTGACCATTGCTTGATATATTTACACATTTATCCGATATATTTAATTACGTGTTCTGTTTCATTACAAAAAGGTGCTTGTATTTACCAGCAATAAATTTTTTAAAATTACAAAATGGCTTTCTGCCTTCACAAAAAAAAGAAGAATTAAGCTTATCGATAATCCAATTATACCTGTATCTCGTTCACATTTTTAGCGAAGCTAAATCCACGCGAATTTCCAATTTCGATTCAAACCAAATAAATTTATATAATAAAATGATACTCGGAATGTTCTTCCAGCAAATATTGCCATTAATTTCCGATAAGCGTCCGCGCGCGAGAAACAAGAGAATAAAATTATATTTCCGTTTCTGACAAAATTAATTACAACGCCTGGGAACGCGTCGATAAAATCTGTGGAAAAAAAAATACGAAAGGACGGGGGATACTTCGAAACTCGAAACGCAC